GGGGGGGGAAGGGTTGGGAGGGGGGCAGGTGGGAATAGAAGGTGTAGTGATCCACGGTTACCCGAGTGGATCCTCTACCCGCCCGTACCCGCCCCCAATTTTTTTTTTGGCTGCCCGGACTACCGGTTCGCGGGCCTATGTTTGGCTGGCCCTACTACCCGTCCAATCCATAAATGCTAACTGTGCCTACCCGTCAACTGCAAAAAAACAAAAAAATGCCCGCCCATAACCAACGCCCCCTTCAGAAAGGGGCACCCACACCTACGCGTGACCTGGCGGTTACCGTTGGGTGCAGTCGGGTACGGGTAACGGTTACCCGTTTGCGCTCTCTGGTCTCTGCTCAATGCCACTCGGGGGGACCAATGGCATATCTCTAGGTGGCGGCGCGAAGCATGCCCAGGAAGGAAGGTACATGATACATGAGGAGGCCGATGGGGATTTGAACCCAAGACCTCCTGAATGCCACTTGCGTGCCTTACCAACTGAGCTAGGCCGCTTTCGTGAATGGTGTGGCGAGGCCCATCGTCGACTCAGGTCCTCGCTCCACTACTCACGAATGGCCAAAATGAGAATGAATCTCGCTAGAAGATGGGAAGATACACATGCATTGTTTTTGTCTTTTGTGCATGTGAGGAGTCGTGGAGCGAGGCCCTCAATGTGAAAGGTAACACCTGCGTGACAGCTCACTACTTATTTGTTGACTCGTGGCGTGCGGAGACTTGGCCGTGTGTCACGTCTTCGGATCGAGAACGGCAAAAGAAAAGGAAAAGGCGACGGACGTCATGGCACGTCATGTGCGACTTTATATTGATCTGTGGATATTTTTTTTTTATGCGTGTCATCCTTGCGCAGGGGCCATATCGTTCCAATTTTAACGGATGTCCCGAAGGGCATCTGTGGATTTCCTGCTTCTGCTGATGAAAGCTAAGTTGCTCATCGTGTCCTTCGAGGAATGTCTGTAAATCCACCGCCGCGACAGATTCTGTTCTGTAACGGCACAGCAGCGCCTGGGTGTAGGTGTGTACTTGTTGCTCTCATACGTGGCTTT